GGGTAGATCACTTGAGGTCAGGAGTTCAAGACCAACCTGGCCAACATGGTGAACCCTCGTCTCTACTAAATATACAAAAATTAGCTGGGTATGGTGGTACGTGCCTGTAGTCCCAGCAATTTGGGAGGCTGAGACAGTCAAGCCACTGCACTTCAGCCTGGGTGACAGAGCGAGACTCCCTCTCAAAAAAAAAAAAAAAAAAAGGGGGGGCCAGGCATGGTGGCTCATGCCTGTAATGTAATCCCAGCACTTTGGGAGGCTAAGGTGAGAAGATTACTTGAGCTCAGGAATTTGAGACCAGCCTGGGAAACATAGTGAGACCTCATCTCTATTATAAATAAAAACAAAATGTTAGCTACCAAAAACTAGGTGGCTTGCACCTGTAGTCCCAGCTACTTGGGAAGCTAAGGTGGGAGGATCGCTTGAGTCTGGGAGACTGAGGCTGCAGTGAGCTATGATCACACCATTGCACTCTAGCATGGGTGATAGAGTGAGATCCCGTCTCGAAAAATAAAATAATAAAGAAAAGAGGTTTATTTGGCTTACAGTTCTGCAGGCTGTACAAGCATGGCACCAGTATCTGTTCGGATTCTGGTGAGGCCTCAGGAAGCTTTCACTCTTGATGGAAGGCAGAGCGGGAGCAGGCATGTCACATGGTGAGAGAGAAGGGAGGAGGTGCCAGGCTCTTTTAAACAACTAGACCTCAGATGAACTCATAGAGAACTCATTGCTGCAAGGACAGCACCAAGCCATTCATGAGAGATCCACCCCCATAACCCAGACACCTCCCACTAGGCCCAACCTCCAATACTGGAATGATGTCACATTTCAACATGAGATTTGGAAGGAAAAACCACATCCAAACCATACCATACACCTTCTTTGGAGAAATGTCTGTTTAAGTCCTTTGCTCATTTTTAAATTGTTGTTGTTGTTGTTGTTGAGTTGCAAGTGTTCTTTATATATTCTAGATACTAGACCCTCATCAGATATATGACTTGCAAATATTTTTTCCCATCCTGTGAATTGTCTTCACTTTTTGGATAATGTCCTTTGATGCACAAAAGTTTTTACTTTTTATAAAGTCCAATTTATTTTTTTCTTGTATTGCTTGTGCTTTTGCTGTCATCTCTAAAGATCCATTGCCAAACCCAAGGTTGTGAACATTTACCCTTCTGTTTTAGGAGTTTTACAGTTTTAGCTCTTATATTTTGGCCTTTGGTCCATTCTATATATAGACAGAGAGGTTGAACTTTCTTCTTTTTCTTATTGTTCTGGCATTATTTATTAAATGATTCTTTTCCCACAGAATGATCTTGTTGGCCCTTGTTGAAAAGCCATTGGGGGCCGGGTGCGATGGCTCATGCCTGTAATCCCAGCACTTTGGGAGGTCAAGGTGGGCAGATCACCTGAGGTCAGAAGTTTGAGACCAGCCTAGCCAATATGGTGAAACCCCATCTCTACTAAAAGTGCAAAGATGACTGTGCGTGGTGGCTCATGCCTGTAATCCCAGCACTTTGGGAGGCCGAGGCGGGCAGATCACCTGAGGTCAGGAGTTCGAGACCAGTCTGACCAACATGGAGAAACCCTATCTCTACTAAAAATACAAAATTAGCTGGGCATGATGGCACATGCCTGTGATCCCAGCTACTAGGGAGGCTGAGGCAGGAGAATCGCTTGAACCTGGGAGACGGAGGTTGCAGTGAGCTGAGATCGCGCTATTGCACTCCAGCCTGGGCAACAAGAGTGAAACTTCACTTAAAAAACAAAAAACAAAACAAAAAAACAAAGATTAGCTGGGCATGGTGGTGCATGCCTGTAGTCCCAGCTACTCAGGAAGCTGAGGCGGGAAAATAACTTGAACCTGGGAGGTGAAGGTTGCAGTAAGCTGAGGTCACGCCACTGCACTCCAGCCTGGGTGCCAGAACAAGACTTTGTCTTGAAAAGAAAAAAAAGAAAGAAAAGGAATAGATGTATGGGTTTATTTCTGGAGACTCAGTCTATCCTCTGGATCTATATATGTCTTTTCTTATGTCAGTACCACACAGGTTTGATTATTGTAGGCTTAGTGCCTTTTTGAGCCTCAGTTTATTTTTCTCCTATAAAGGGAGGGCAGAAGTAGGTCTCTGGCAGGGGTTTTTGGATGAAATGAGCTGGAATATACCATAGCAGCTAGCAGCATGCTTGGCCTATAGTAGTAGAGGAAGCATTACTGTTATTATCTTATGCAAGATGTAGGTTGTGCTTAAAGCCTCCTCCAGAGAGCTGGAAATGTGTAACAGTCAGTTTAGGCTTTAAAACAAAATACCATAGACTAGGTAACTTAACAACAGAAATGTATTGCTCATAATTTCTTTTCGAGATGGGGTCTTGCTCTGTTGCCTAGGCTGGAGTGCAGTGGTGCAGTCACGGCTCACTGCAGCCTCTACCTCCTGCGCTCATGTGATCCTCCCACATCAGCCTCCCAAAGTGCTGGGATTACAGGTGTGAGCCACTGTGCCCAGGCTGCTCATAGTTCTGGAGGTGGGAAGTCCAAGATCAAGGCACTGGGAGATTCAGTATCTGGTAAGGACTCAAATTCTGGCTCACTGTGTCCTCACAAGGTGGAAGGGGCAAAAGAGCTCTCCGGGGACCCCTCTTAAAAGGACACTAATCCCATTCATGAGGGCTCCACCCTTATTCATGAGACTTAACCACCTCACAAAAGACCTACCTCCTAACACTTTCACACTGGGAATTAACTTTCTTTCTCTTTCCCTTTTTAAAATTTTCTTCTTATATTTTTTCCTTTTTTTTTTTTTTTTGAGACGGAATATTGCTCTTGTCGCCCAGGCTGGAGTGCAGGGGCACAATCTTGGCTCACTGCAGCCTCCGCCTCCCAGGTTCAAGCGATTCTCCTGCCCAAGCCTCCTGAGCAGCTGGGATCACAGGTACCCACCACCACGCCCAGCTAATTTTTGTATTTTTAGTAGAGATGGGGTTTCACCATGTTTGCCAGACTGGTCTTAAACTCCTGAGGTGACTCCTACCCACCTTGGCCTCCCAAAGTGCTGGGATTACAGGCGTGAGCCACCATATCCAGTCTCTTCTAGTTTTTTGAGACTATGCAATAAATTATAGTTAACCATATACAGTGGAACATATGAATTTAGGGGGAGAGGGCACAAACATTCTGTTCACACCAAGGCAGTGTGCCGTGGACAGCAGACATCACCATCGGTGCAGAGGCCCGGGAGTGTCAGTCATCAGGCACTGAGGTGTGACTTTACCCTATTCTACCCACGGTCCCTTGAAAGCCCAGCCCTGGGCCTGCGTGAAGTGGACAAAAAGGGGCACCTCTTGAGGCCAAGATGCATCGGCTTTCACATGACCTGGTGATACTCTGTGAGTGAGACAGCAGGAAGTTTGCTTGTCACTGAGTGGGGGAGGGCTGGGCCCCAGAATCATTCTAGGGTCCCACCCCCAGATATTCCAATGCAGGAAGGCTGTGCTGCGGCCCTGGGACCTACAGTTCTTCCCAGATGTTACGTTATTGAAAGAACTGTGCAGTGAACACCAATAACCCACCTTGCGGATTCTACAATGAACAGTTGACTCTAGTTGCCTTATCTCAGCTGTAGCCACCTGTCCTTCCCTCTGTCCACCCATCCATCCACCTTATTTCTTGTTGCATTTCAAAGTAAGTTGCATCCAAAGTAAAAGACATCCATCCACTGCCCCTTTGCATACTTTGGCAGGCATTTCATTAAATACAGTTCAAAATTTGTGTGTGTGTGTGTGTGTGTGTGTGTGTGTGTGTTTATAAAACCTGTGTTTCAAAAAGAAATTTCCCAGAGTATTCTTCCATGGTGCCAATCCAGGATAGTGGGTAAGACGTTATGTTAAGAACCACCACCCTGATCATTGAGACACCTGAGAAGAACCCTTTGTAAGGGTTCCCAGGGTAAGGATTGGTTCCTGGCTCTACCTCCTCCTAGCTGTGTGATCTAGGGTAGGTCACATCACCTGTCTAAGCCTCAATGTCCTCATCTCTAAATTGGGCATACGAAAAGTATCTACTGGCCGGGCGCGGTGGCTCATGCCTGTAATCCCAGCACTTTAGGAGGCCGAGGCGGGGGGATCACGAGGTCAGGAGATCGAGACCATCCTGGCTAACATGGTGAAACCCCATCTCTACTAAAAATACAAAAAAGTAGCTGGGCGTGGTGGCGGGCGCCTGTAGTCCCAGCTACTTGGGAGGCTAAGGCAGGAGAATGGCATGAACCTGGGAGGTGGAGCTTGCAGTGAACCGAGATGGTGCCACTGCACTCCATCCTGGGAGACAGAGTGAGACTCCGTCTCAAAAAAAAAAAAAAAAAAAAAAAAAGGAAAAGTATCTACTTGTTAGGGTTGTCATGAGGAGTAACTGAGTCTCTGCACATGAAGTGCCTGGCATGGTGCTTGGCACATAGTAAGGGGTCAGCTAATAACAGCCTTTGCTATTACGAAGATGTCACTGTATGGATACCCTTCCAGAACAACCCATTTTCTGTTTTTTTTTTTTTTCCTTCAAGACAGAGTTTTGCTCTTGTTGACCAGGCTGGGGTGCAGCAACCCCTTTTTTTAGTGGGGTTCTTTGTTTCTGGAAACCAGAAGCATTTTTGACCTGATCAGCCTGGGAACTGGTGAACAGGCAGACTGAGGATAAAGCCAAGGCCTACAATTCCTATCACCTTACCTTTGTCCTCACTGGTGCAGGTGGCAGGAAGCCCCCTTCCAAGGATATTTGATCTCACTGGGGGGCTGGAGCTTGGGGAGGCTGGCACACGGGGTTGCTTCAGGCCTGAGTGTGAGGGTGATGGATTGTGGTGCGGGGGAGGGGGAATAATCCTCCCTAGAGGGGAGGCTTACCCAACATGTGTCAACAGACCCCAGTTGTCTGCTCATGACTGTAATTTAAGATGCCGATTTCACAACTCCTGGAGCTGGTGAAACACTACAGCCCTTTGGGTGTTTTGCAGGAGATTTAAGGAGCTGCATATTAGTGAACACGCAGGCTGCCTTGGTGCCTGGAGCAGAGCTCACGTTCTAGAGAGAATTTGCAGATTGGAAGCCCATGGGCCAGAATCAGTCCACGGATGACTTTCAGGGGCACGAGGTTTGTTTTTGTTCCTTTGTTTTAGAATTGAATTCGTTGCCAGCATTTTTTTTTAAACATGGAGATTATACATGAAAATGTCTTGAGCTGGGTGCCGTGGCTCACACCTGTAATCCCAGCACTTTGGGGCACCGAGGCAGGTGGATCATCTGAGGTAGGGAGTTCGAGACCAGCCTGGCCAACATGGTGAAACCCCATCTCTACTAAAAATACAAAAAATTGGCCGGGTATGGTGGCAGGCGCCTGTAATCCCAGCTACTTGGAAGGCTGAGGCAGGAGAATCACTTGAACCTGGGAGGTAGAGGTTGCAGTGAGCTGAGATCGTGCCATTGCACTCCAGCCTGGGTGACAGAGTAAGACTCCATCTAAAACAAAAACCAACAAAAGAAAATGTCTTGAAAAATCAGATCTAGCAACAATGGGCCCGCAGTCCTGCATGACAACCATTGGCTAAGTGTGCTTGGACCCCTTTTGCCAGGACGTCAGACAGCCAGTTTATCCCTGCTACACCAGGGTTACCTGTCTGTCTGCTGCTCACAACTTAGTTTGAGAACCCAGGCTTTACTAGTAAGATAGACACAGACTCAACTATTTATGGTTCAAAACAGAGGGCGGTGAGTATTATAGCTTAGGGCAGTGGTTCTCCATAGAGGTGATTTAGCACCCTAGGGGACAGTGGCAATGTCTGAAGACATATTTTGGTTGTTGCAACTTGAGGAGGGTGCCATGGTATCTAGTGGGTGGAGAGTGGGATACTGCTCAACATCCTGCAGTGCACAGGACAGCCCCCATGCCAAAGATTATCCAGCCCCAATGTCAGTAGGGCTGAGGTTGGGAAACCATGGATTAGGGGCACCGGCAAACTGGCCTGGAGGGAAGAGGTTCATTCCAGTTGTGGGGCTCAAGAAAGGCTCCCTGAAGAGAAGAGGTCTTGCTGGTGAGCAGGCACTTGACGACTAAGCCAGGTTTCACCTGAGAGTGATTGACAGGGAGGCATGTCAGGCAGAGAACAAACAACACAAGCAAAGGTCTAGAGGCACCTTTGATGGGTGGAGGTGGGTGAGGGTGTGAACAGTGAGATGGAGCCTGTGGTTCAAGATCCATGAAGTTTGGGGTCAGATGAATGTGGGTTTGAGTTCTGACTCTTACCACTCACTAGCCATGTGGCTTCAGGCTTGTCATTGGTTTAAACCTCAGCTTCATCATCTGTAAAATGGGGATAAGAAATGAGGTTATGTAGGGCCAGACTCATCTATCCGAAGTCCTCCATTTCTACTCTGCGTCCCAGCCATTCTCAACTACTGGCAGTTTGCTACATGCTTCTTGCTTTCTCTCCCCTGTCTGGCCCCTCCATGTGCAGTTCCCACTGCCTGGAAAGCTCACATTCCAGATGTGTGGATTACACCATCAAGGTGTTATAAACCCAGTGCTGATATGCCCAGACTTGTTTTGAAAAGACCACTCTGCCAGCAACAGGGTGTTGGGCTTGTGGGAGTGGGGTAGGGAATCTAGAGGCCAAGGCAATGATGGGGAATTCCCAGGCTCATACAAGAACCCTGGGAGCTTCTGCCTTCACTCTAACTCCCTTCCCCATCACTTCTCTGGCCTTAAGGTACCTTGGGGGAAGGTCAGTGAGGACCCACTGGGCATGAACGGGTTGGATTGTCTCTTGGTTAATGTTCCTGCTCCCTTCTCAGCTTAGGAGCCGGGTTACTTTATATTTCAGGGTTGAGGTGTTGTATTAGTCTGCTCTCACACTGCTACAAAGAACTACCCGAGACTGGGGAGTTTATAAAGGAAAGAGGTTTAATTGATTCACAGTTCCGCAGGGCTGGGAGGCCTCAGGAAACTTACAATTATGGCAGAAAGGGAAGCAAACATGTCCGTCTTATGTGGCGGCAGGAAGAAGAAGTGCCGAGCAAAGGGGGAAAAGCACCTTATAAAACCATCAGATCTTGTGAGAACTCACTCACTATCACAAGAACAGCATGGGAGTATCCGCCCCCATGATTCAATTACCTCCCATGGGGTCCTTCCCATGGTATGTGGGGATTATGGAAAGTACAATTCAGCAAGAGATTTGAGTGGAGACACAGCTAAACCATATTAGGTGTAGAGGCCAAAACCTCATAGAGGCTATGGGCCAGCCCCCCGGCTTCCTTAAGCCTCAGTTTCCTCACCTGTGTAGAACAGTCTTTTCAGGGTCTGTGGGGGTACATGGGATACTTCCTACAAAGTTCTTACAATAGGACCTGGCTCAATTTTATAAAAATGAAGCTCTTGGCCGGGTTTGGTGGCTCACGCCTGTAATCCCAGCACTTTGGGAGGCTGAGGTGGGCAGATCACGAGGTCAGGAATTTGAGACTAGCCTGGCCAATATGATGAAACCCTGTCTCTACTAAAAAATACAAAAATTAGCCAGGCATGTGGCGTGCACCTGTAGTCCCAGCTATTCAGGAGGCTGAGGCAGGAGAATCACTTGAACCCAGGAGGCGGAGGTTGCAGTGAGCTGAGATCGCGCCACTGCACTCCAGCCTGGGTGACAGAGTAAGACTCTGTCTCAAAAAAAAAAAAAAAAAAAGAAAAAAGAAATCAAGCTCTTGGTGAATACTCTCTGAATGCCCGGTACTGCAGGAGGCCCTGAGAATTCAGTCTCTCTCAAGAACTGACCTTGACTTTAAGGATTGCCTGAGTTAGGATTTGTGGACTTTGCTGACTGGGGACATCCAATTTTTAGGGAGAAATTCCTGGGAATTTTATTTGAAAGATGTGCACAAAGATTTAGCTTTTACAGGTGGATCACGAGGTCAGGAGATCGAGACCATCCTGGCTAACACGGTGAAAGCCCGTCTCTACTAAAAAAATACAAAAAATTAGCCGGACGTGGTGGCGGGCGCCTGTAGTCCCAGCTACTCGGGAGGCTGAGGCAGGAGAATGGCGTGAACCTGGGGGCAGAGCTTGCAGTGAGCCGAGATGGCACCACTGCACTCCAGCCTGGGCGACAGAGCGAGACTCCATCTCAAAAAAAAAGAAAGATTTAGCTTTTAAATAGGTCCACAGTGGCTATATTTATAAAGTGAAAAATTGGAAATAGCCTTAATGTCCAACTATAGGATATTGGTTTAATATGTGATAAGACTTGCCCAGGAGCGGTGGCTCACGCCTGTAATCCCAGCACTTTGGGAGGCCGAGGCAGGCGGATCACGAGGTCAGGAGATCGAGATCATCCTGGCTAATACGGTGAAACCACGTCTCTACTAAAAATACAAAAAATTAGCCGGGTGTGGTGGCGGGCACCTGTAGTCCCAGCTACTTGGGAGGCTGAGGCAGGAGAATGGTGTGAACCTGGGAGGCGGAGCTTGCAGTGAGCCGGGATCGTGCCACTGCACTCCATTCTGGGCAACAGAGGGAGACTCTGTCTCAAAAAAAAAAAATTGTGATAAGACAAATCGAGTATTATGCACTAATTCAAGAGGAAGCAGATGCATATTTGCTGATACTGAAAGATGTTCATTATTAAGTGAAAACAATATACAAAACACTATTTATATATCAGTAATAGGCCAGGCATGGTGGTTCACACCTGTAATCCCAGCACCTTGGGAGGCCAAGGAGGGAGGATTGCATGATCCCAGGAGTTCAAGACTACCTTGGGCAACATGGTAAGACCCTGTCCACAAAAAATACAAAAATTAGCTGGACGTGGTGGTGCACGCCTGTAGTCCCAGTTACTCAGGAGGCTGAGGTGGGAGAATCACCTACGCCTGGGAGGTGAACGCTTTAGTGAGCTGTCACTGTGCCACTGCACTCCATCCTGGGCAACAGAGACCCTGTCTCAAAAAAAATACACACACACACACACACACACACACATTTTAAAACACACATTTTAAAACCTGGAGGCTAACATACCTCAAAATTAACAGTGGATATCTATAAGCGGCTCTTACAATTATTTTCTTATTCTACATTTTTCCCTTTCTATTTTTTTTACAATAAATGTGCATTTGTTTTGTGAAAATAGCAATATATTTTATTAACCTTAAAATTATTTGATGCTATTAAAATATAAATAAAAATAATAATAAAAGAAAGGGCAAGTTTGCCAGCTCTCCCCGTCTCCCTCCCCAGCCTTATCTCCTGACTTGATTGATCACTCCCAATAAACACGGACTCTTAATTCGTTTCAGTATTTACAAACCTCAAAACAAGGCCATGTAAAGATGAATAATCATACTCTGCAGGTGATCTGCATGCACGCCAAATTTTGAGATGCGTTGAAAGAGGAAGTTCTTTACCTCTCTGCCTTCCATTATTTATTCTCATTTAAGCCAGTTCCTCCATTCATTCCTGAGAGCGTTTATTTACTTTTATCTACGCATGCGCACTCCTCGCTGATAGAGAGGGCCGGTTTTCCCGGCGGTCCCGCCTTCTGACGTCGACCATTGGCCGGCTCTGCCAGCACGCTCCTGATTAGTGGCTGCGGGCCGGGCCCCGCTGCTCCTCAAAGTTGGCGGGAAAGCGGCGGCTAGTCCGAATGGCGGCGGCTGCGGACTCGTTCTCAGGCGGCCCCGCGGGGGTGCGGCTGCCTAGGTCGCCGCCACTCAAGGTGCTGGCGGAGCAGCTGCGGCGCGACGCGGAGGGCGGCCCGGGCGCGTGGCGACTGTCGCGAGCGGCGGCGGGCCGCGGGCCGCTGGACCTGGCGGCCGTGTGGATGCAAGGCAGGGTAGTGATGGCGGACCGCGGCGAGGCGCGGCTGCGGGACCCGAGCGGGGACTTCTCGGTCCGCGGCCTGGAGCGGGTGCCGCGCGGACGGCCCTGCCTAGTCCCAGGTAATGCCCGAGCCTCACCGGGCGTCCTCTTCCCTGCTGTCCGCCGAGAGGTTGCCGAGGCCAGATTCTATCCGGGTCTTGACACTCGACGGGGGCAGGGGCGGGGCGGGTCTGCCCCTCCTCCGGGCCTCTGCCTCTGCGGGTCCCCGCTTGGGTACCCTTGCTCCGGTCCCTCCTCGGTGAAGTTGATCTTACGATAAGCAGTCCCTTCAACAAATACAGATTT